ATTTATATGTAATAATTGAATTTTTAGCAAATTTATTTGATTTTAGGGGTAGCAAAAACCCCAAAATTTATGCAGATTAGTTATGACCTATATTGAAGATGTCTGGGGTCCTGTTACAACTTAAGTTTCATAATTTTTATTTGCTTAATTTTTACATTTAGAATTTTAGTGATTCTGGTAATGGTAAATTGCAGTTTACTATTTTTGGCATCATGCTGATTGTAGGTCACTTCTACAAAAAGATAAGTATATATATATATATTTTTTTTTGTTTGTTTGTTTTTAATGTTTAATGTTTTAATATTTAGGATGCTCAATGCTAAAATATTAGTTTGATAAAGCTAAAACGCGAAAATTAAAAAAGGTATGTAGTTTATATCCTTTTATAGAATAGTCTGTACTATTAGTTTTCTGATTTTAATATTAGATTATATAAAATACGTATATTTTTGTACATGTGGCACTACTATAGATTGAGACATTCCTATTTCTCATAATACTAACTCTAACTAATTTTTTTCTAAACATGGTATAGATAACCAGAGCCATATAAGTGATACTAAAGGAAACTAAACTTAAATTTATTATTGGTTATTTATCAGATTTAGCCCTGGTTAGGACAAACAATATGTAAGTAGCTTTAATTATACATCATATATGCAGCCTATCAAGTTAAATCTGACAATAACAAATAATAAGTTTTCCCTTAGTGTCACTTATATAGAATGTTGTGTATAGTGGCTATTTATTCAACATTATATATTATTAGGGTAGGTAGTTATCAAGCAGTATGGTAGAGTTTTTAAAATTAGTGCGTTCTATACAGTATTTTCACAAATCAGTATGGTTTGTCTTTGGGTGAGCAAATTGGCCGATTATTAAAATCTGTACTATACTAATTCAGTATTATTGTTAGGGTTAGGAATACCCAGAGTTATAAAATTATGAGTAAGTTACCAAAATGGCTACTTAATAGTACCTTACGGTAAGTTACCTTAGACTATCAGAACTAACAAGATTTCAATATTCATGTAACAAATCAAAATTCTACATCACGATTTATTATAGTTGGTAAGTTATATTAGTAACTTACCAGGACCCTGAAAACTTATATTAGATGTTTCTGGCAAAATGATGCCAATTTTATCATTTTTTACTTGCAAGCTAATTGGCTAAAAGTGGCAATCATTATTGTAAAAAGAAAGCAGATCACATGACTGCACATATTTTTTGTGTAATATTTCCTTTTTTAGTAAGATTATTGCTCCTCTACTAATAACTTTACCTATACTTTAGCTAGTAATATTGGAAAATTTTTTATATGAACTTTACCTAGTCCACACGACGAGAACATCTAATATAAGTTTCCGGGGTTCTAACTTATCGGTATACTGATCTGCCATAATTCCTTAATATTTAAGAATTATCGATAGAATGGTGTGTATGATATCAATGTAAAGAAGAATAGCCTGTGCCTCTTTATTTTGAGGAGATGATTTATTAAGAATGCCTTATATTAGTGTATAATCGTTTTATTCAAATAAATTGGGTTTATCAAAATATTGTTATAAGTAAAAAAGCAATTAAAACATTTATGACTGTTTAACTTCTAGCTTACTATCATTTCATTCATTATAGAAAGGTTAAATTCTATATTGTTTCAAGTTGCATTATTTTATCTTTGCTATTTTGACATGTCTTTTATAATGTCTTCTCATACTTAATGCTCTCTCTTCCAATGGGATATGATTTCAATTTGGATTTCATTTCGATGCTATGGCTTCGAACTATACTTTATAATAATGTTTCAAAGATTATGAAGTGTATTTATGTATGTTGAACTTGACCTTAAATATTTCAAAAAGTTTAGTTTAGGAATTTTCAGAGTTTATAAATTTTAAACAGAGATGGATGACTATATATATATTGTTATATAAATCTCTTAAAAAATTTTAGCAAAGCAAACAAAAACTATATATATATTACCTTCTGACTTGATATAAAAATAATTACAATTGAATATATTTCAATTAGAGATTCACCTTCAAACAATTATTTCACTGATAGCTTATTTAGCTGACATCACGCCAAGTAACAATTTGTAAAAATGCATATTTGCAACTAATAAAATACTGTTCTTAACCCTGTATGATGTTAGCTAAATGAACTTTTAGTAAAATGATAGTTGAAGTGAGCTAAAATATATTGAGAGATCAAGCACATTACAAGAACCAAATATTAAACTCAGACTTTATTCTATTATTATTTGAATATTCAATTCAGATATCTTATCCGAGTATTATCCAGGTACTATCTGGGTATTATTATCTAGATATTTATTCAAGTATGTTTATCCGGGTAGCTGAGTTCACAACCCAGATATCTGACTATCTGCGGATAACTTTACTCGGGTACCATCACTACATAAAATAAAGGCTGAAAGTGAAGAAATATACTATGAGCACTAGTTAACTAAACCTGGTCATAACACAGAGTGTTTATATCAATGTACAGGGTATAATGTAGATATAGTAGATAAAGAAAACCAGTGTATAGGCAAGAAGACCACATCACAAAGCCTTCACCAAGTTAAAGGTGTGATAAAAAAAGAGAATAATTGGTTCATGGTGATTTCTGCTTTTTGTTTTTTTGCATCTACAGTTCCCGAACAAGGTGTAGAAGAGAGGCTCATTAAACTTCAGCTAATCAAACACATAAATATCACGTTTATTAGAAATCAGCACTTTAAGCAAAAAGTTAAAAAGCTTTTGATAGAGAACTTAAATTACAACTTACAAAAGAGAAACAAAAACCCAGTATTCTTTACAAATTGGTCATTGTTACAACCAAGTGACAAAGTCACTAATGTTGATCTAATGGGCACAGGCTGGGTTCAAGTACATACAGAACAAGTTGAAACAGAAATCACCAAAGGTAGTGTAAAGTAGAAAAGTAGCCTTTATCATCAAGACCCAAACTTATAGCAATCTGGTGTGCATTACTAATGACATGCTTAGGAAGTATAGTTGAGGTAAATACAGATAGTATGGTTGCAATTTGTAGTATTCAGAAAGCATTAGAAAATAGAAGCTTTAGAGTATCAAGTAAATTAAAGAACTATTTAATTGTATACAAAATAGTTGAAACAATTTAGTTTAAAGAGCTTAGTTTAAACTTGAATAAGATTAAGGCATATAGTGGTATTAAGTGAAATAAGATTACAAATAAGCTAGCAAAAAATGATACAGCCTTAGATAAAAAGTAGTCAATTTTTGGTCAAGTTCAGTCTAGATGGCTATTTAGTTTAAGATAGCAAGGTGAACAAGTAGATTCTTCAATTAGATCTTTTATACTTCAAATTACTAGTATAAGAACAAAAAGTATTTAGTATATACAGAAGAAGGCTTATCTTTATAATGAAAATGAGAAGGCTAAGGATCTAATATGAGATAACTGTTGGGAAAAATTTAAAGAGATTAGAGGCATTAGATACAACTCATTTGAAAAAAGTCAAAGATTGATTGAATATATGAAGAATCTGTCACAACTATTTTCAACAAAGAGTATTCTTTATAAAAGAAGACCTGAAGTGTACTTGGATCCATTATGTGTTCTGTGCAAAGAAATAAAGTGAAAAATGCAGATTACCTTATACAATATCAGATACTAAAGAAGATATGGAGAAAGATCAAGAAGTTTAGTATTGCCTAGGTATTGATAAATGAAGTATATAGAGCACCTATAACAGTATGTGATTTGTAAAAAGCTGTTCTAGAGTCAACTTGGGTTGAAAGAGTCAGGGCACACAGTCTTTTGTCAAAAGGTCTTTTTAGATGTAGTATGCTTGTATGATTATATAATACAATAGAAAATGAAGCAGAAGCATTAGAAACTCTAAAGGCAGCTAGCTTTGGTATACAGGAATACTTTTATAGATTGGTATAGAGTGAAAGATGTAGAAAATTTATTATATAAGAAAAAGAAAACAATATCAGCTTCAAAGAAAAACAACTGAAAAAGAAAAAAGAAAGAAAAAGAGCTTATAAAAAGGAAAATATTGTGGACCTAGCCAGAGTAGTACTAATAAAGACCATCCTAGATTAAAAAAAAAAATAAAGATATTAGGGGTAGATCCTTTGGTGGATTCAGAAGTAAGATATCTGTCAAAGATAGAAATTAAGCAAAGAATTTTAAGTTCTAACCTACCAAGTTGGTGAACTAAAAAATTGTAAATATTTGATAGAAGCTGAGCCCAGGCTAGATTATATCTTTAAATATATCACACCATATACAGGATATGGTGGCCAATATCTATATAGTAACCAAACTTGGACACCTTCATGAGACAGCCGGGTTTTAGTCTAATTAGTTTATTAAATAGCTTAGTTTTGTATTAAGTTGTAAATATTTAATAAAATTTAGTACGCGGTTATCAAAGGAAATATATATAGATGTAAATATTTTATCAGCTTATTTACTAAGTGATAATAGTAGTATTATTAAAAGTGAAACAAGCATGTCTGCTCCTCATATTGTAGACACAGTAGCACTTTATATTTCAACTTATAGCAACTTACCCCCATCAAATATGTCTGAAGCAATTATTTTATTAGCAATTAAAAATATTATTACAGGAATTCCTAATAGAAATAATACTTATTTTTGCATGTACCTTATTAACGAAATTTTTACTTAACAATTAACTTAGTATTTATTAATTATTAATTTATTATATTTATTAATTTTTAACAAAATTTTTATTTAACAATTAACTTATAACTTTTACTAAAAGGCACCTATAGTGTTTTACACCTATGTATATATTATCTCAAAAATTGGCTAATTAATTAATGCAAGATATTCTAAGTAAAAATGCCCTACACCCCTAAAAACCCTTCCTGAATCCTAACTCCAACCCTAAATACCAACCCTAAATACTAACACTAACATAAAAATTTTTATATTCAAAACTTAGAAAAATCTAAAAAACATAATAAAACATATGATAGGTGCATTTTATAATGAATATTATTATTTATTAATTTATTAAACATGTGATGTTTTTAATATAGTATAAAATAAAAAATAAAAGGTAATTAGAATTAAAATTAGAAAAAAACAAAGTGTAGTTTAGGCAATACAGATTTAATTAAATGTTTCTCATAACTTCGGCTGTATTAAAATTTGCAAAATTTTTAAAAAAATTTTAACTACTGTATGTTTACTGGAAAGCTATGGGCACAGCAAACACGTGATTTGTATTCTTATCAGCACAGCAATGACACCCCAAATCTTTAAAATTCTTGTAACTTTGAGCGAAGTTATCCTGGCAACCAACCAACTAAAATTTTTATGAACATTTTTTTTAATTTGATTCTACAGAGCTGTAGAATAGTGCTTTGATTCGCAATCTGACTAATTCAGATTTATCTGATAATTCGAATTACAGCTGTTTTTATTATTCCTGGGACACCTATAAAAAATTAGCTGAATGATTTTTTGGCCAACCCGGTTAAGTTATTTTTTCGGCATAATCGGTATCAGGGACTGTCAAAAATTTGGATATAAAATCATAAATCTTTATTTGGATATCGGTTTATATTTGGGTAAAATTTGGA